TTTTCATGACATTTAAGTACATTTTCCCACAAATTCTCATTACTATTATGTGGTGATTTAAAAATCATCAAAATTACATTTTCATTATTAAAATCACCATAAATGAATTAGAACAAACACTACCATGAGGTATAAATACTTTGTGTAATATAAATGTTTCCAATTTCAGCAAAGAAACTTAGATTTTAGTCCTATATATATATATATATATAGAGAGAGAGAGAGTGGTTACATAAAGCTCTACTATTGCCCTTGCTACCTACCTTATAAATCACATAACCATCTACAAATGTCTTCCAATAAAGTATGGCATAAAATAGTTCCCGGAGTGTTTTATCAATCTCGGATCACAAATAGATGTTGACGCTTGGATTATCAGCATCAAAAACAGTGTCAGAAAAATAAAGTATGTTTTTATATGTTTTTAAGAGTTGGCTTTCTTTTATAGCTTTATTTGAATTGCTTATTAGTTCGTTCAAAACTAAAATAAATCTGATTTGCACTTCAACCACTAGCTGTTTTTGTACACAGCGTATAAATTACACACTGAAATAGCTTGACCTTTACTGATATTCATGCATTTCCAAGACGCAATTGCAAGACACACAATCCCCCATCCGTAGGGACACACACATGCACGCAAGTATGGCTCCTAAAAGATTTACTTAGGTCCTAAATCTATTGATTTGTTCCGTCTGGTTGCATTGATCCTTCACACATCTATTGAAGTTTAGTCAATAAAGGTAAACTAATTAAAGTTTCTTAATTCAACTAAACATAATAAGCAACTAAAAAAGGAAGTACCTATAGATGGTTATGACTGAAAAATGTTATTAAATTGTAAATAATTAAATAAATGCTATACAGCTGGTTTTTCCATGATGAAAAAAGTCATACGTTCAGAATGACATGAGGGTGTTTATGATGACAGACTTTTAATTTTTAGGTGAACTATTCCTTTAACAGAGCAAAACTTGCTCTTGGTGCAAAACCTCAAGAGGCTTCCCAAACATGCTGTATTTTTAAAAAGACAACAAGTCAGATAAATAAATAAGGTGTACAACATGCTGTGCTGAAAAGTATTACGGCTCAGCTTTCTGAATGAAACATATTGCACATGTAGAATGTCACCCTCTCCTTAGTAACATGCTCTATTTTGTTAATTGTAGACACTTAGCAGCCTCGTTCATTTTTTCTGAAGCTGTTTCTAAATGCCGTCCAATAGTTTCTGCCTGTTGAGAAGGTTTAAGTGAGTGGTTTAAAGTCAGCAGACCAACAGGCAAGAGATTTTTTATCATACTAATCTCTCAGTAGGTGGTTAGTTCAACAGCTTAAGAGTCTGCCCAAGGTGCAGGAGGACAGATTAAAGAGCAACTTGCTATTTAGGAGAGACAGAGCAAGAGAGAGCTGGAGCTTCCTGTAGCACCAGCTGCGTTTCAGAAGCGCTGGTTAATGAGATAAACATAGGTTCTTCAAATCCTCAAAGGACCTCAAGCTAATAGTCTCATCCCTGGGTGGTGTGAATGCAGATATGGGCTCTGCACATGCACCTGCTTGAGAAAATATAGAACCGGTGATGAAAGATGTTGCATGTGTTGCATTTTAGAAAGGAGTCTGTGGCTAGAACTGGATTAAGCTCTCTTTACAAACTATTTTTAAAAAAGTGCTAAGGGTTTGTAGAAACCAGGGACGCAGGAAGTAGGGGTGCTGAGGGGGCTGCAGCACCCCCTGTTTTCACATGGTTGCAAATGCAACGGCAAGTTTGTTCATTTAAATTTAATTTATTTGTAATGATCTCTGAAATGTAAATTGTAAGTGGGCTATAACAAACCCATGTTTATCTTTATAAACATGATTAATTTTACTTGTGATGTTTTCTATATGGGATGATTAGCCTAATCCTCATGAACACGTGACGCTGGCGCGTGGTATCAGATATGAACTGTACAGAATGCGAACAAGATTAACTTTAATACAAGGAGATAATGGTGCAAAAGCGAATTTCAGATTTTTTTAAATGCCCATCCCAGCAAAAACTTTCCAAAATAGG